AGAGGGTGGGGTGATGGAGGGAGTGGGGGTGATGGAGGGAGTGGGGGTGATGGAGGGGGTGGGGTGATGGAGGGGGTGGGGTGATGGAGGGGGTGACGGAGGGAGTGGGGGTGATGGAGGGGGTGGGGGTGATGGAGGGGGTGGGGTGGCGGGTGGCGGTCGGGCCAGCAGGGTGCATTGAGGCTGTGCCAGTTCTAAGCTTCCAGGCGCACAGGGGGGACCGGCCCAGCTGCGCCCGGAGGCTGACCTCCGCAGCCGGCCCCGCGGCCTCCGGGCCTCTCCGGATAAAACGCAGCCCCTCGCCCGGGCAGGTGAGGCTGGGATTGCGGCTGACCTCGCTGCTCAGAAACCAGGCGCCCGGGAACCGGGGACCGGAGCTTGCTTGCCATGGCAGAATTCGCCGGAGTGACCCGGGCCTGCCAGGGTGCCCTAAAACGGGGGTCTCCATTTCTCCCGTGAAAAGACTGCTTTCGCTTTCCTGTATCGGCTGATTACAGAACAGCATTTCAACAGGTGGCGGAGGCGGACCCGGGGAGCGGGCTGGGGAGCCCGGCGCGGAGCCGCGCGCGCAGGCGCCTCCCGGGCTTCCGCTGGCTTCGCAGCCCCCGAGTCCGTCCGTCCGCGCGACCGGCGGCCGTGGGCTAAGCAGGCGCCTCCCCGGGAGGACCGGAGCGGGGCTTGGAGCCCCCAGGGCGGCGGCGGGGAAAACCCTCCCCCCGCCGGGATGCCCCCCGCGCCGTCCTGGGAGCTGGCGCCCTCCAGCCCGCTGGACCCCGGCTTCGCGCTGGGCGGCCCCCACGCGTCCAGCCCGCCGCCGCCTCCCGGGGCCGGGGCCGGGGCCGGGGCCGGGGCCGGGGCCGGGCTGGCGGCCACCGGCGGTGCTGCTCCTGCCGCCGGGACGCCCCGGGGAAGGTCCCCGACCCGCTCCTCCTCGGCCGGCCGCCCCGCCGAGCTCTCCGCGCCGGTGCCGCCCTTCCCTCGGGAGCCGCCTGCACGCCGTGGCGGCCGCGGACCAGGCAGCACCTCCCGCGGCCTCCGCCTCCTCCCGTCCTGGCGCCCCCGCCGCCGGCGGTGCTGGCCGGGCCGGCGCGGCGGCGGCGGCGGGGACCCGGCGGGGTGGGTGCAGACGGCGCTGCCCTTCGCCGTGTTCGCCGCTCGGGGAGCCGGGCGGCGCCAGTGCGCGATGGTCTCCCGCCGCCCCAGGCCGCCTGGGGGCGGGGAGCCGCCTCCCGCTCCTGCGGGGCCGCCGTCTGCGCCCTGCGCCCCGCTGTGCGGGCTGCGGGGCTGCGGGGTGGCCCCGGCGGCAGCCCGGCCCTGGCCGCGCAGGAGGCGGTCCCCACATCTCCCCTGGCGGCGGCGTCCTGGCCGCTGCCTCCGCGGCGCCGCTGGGCTTCGCGGTCTCCCAGGGCAGTGTTCCCCAAACTTCTGACCTGTGTGTACCCCTTCTGTCATTTTCCTAACGCTGAGGACCCCTCGTACTCACGTAGAATTAGGCGCAGCTGAGCACGGTGCAGTGCATATCCCCACCGAACTCCGGTGCAACGCGTGCCCCCACCAAACTCTTCCCGTACCCCTGGGGGTACGCCTACCGCACTTTGGGAAACACTGCTAGGGGGAGGGGAGCAGGGGAGGGAAGACCCCGGAACCTGCCCGGGGAGGGGAGCGGGGGGGGGGGGGGAAGAGAAGCGCTGGGAACTCCTTTCTCGCCCCGCAGCTCGCCCTCTGGGCGCCGGGTCGTGCGCACCCGCTCCAGGCGGAGCCGGGCGGCGCTCCCTCGGGCGGCGAGGTCCCGGGACGCAGCGGCCCGCGGGCCCCGCACCTGCCGCCTCCGCCCGGGGCCGCTGTGGTTTCCGGCGGCGATGCCCGGCCCAGTCCCCCTCTTCCTCCCCGGCGCCCCATCAGCACGAGGAGAGGCTCAGGGCGCTGCGCTCCGCGTCCACCCCCTCCGGGTGCGCGGGGAGGGCGGGCCAGGCCCCTCCGGCCTTTCCGGGGAAGTCTCGGGGACGGAGGGAGGAGGAGAGAGGGAGCGCGGGAAACAGAGGAGGCGTGCAGGAGGCGTGCAGGGAAGGAGGCTGGGGCTTGGCTGTGACTCTTTTTAAAATATATATTTTATTGATTTTCTAGAGAGGAAGGGAGAGGGATAGAGAGCCAGAAACATCGATGACACCAACCAGCTGCCTCCTGCACACCCCCTACTGGGGATGTCCCCGCAACCAAGGTACATGCCCTTGGCCGGAATCGAACCTGGGACCTTTCAATCCGACGCTCTATCCACTGAGCCAAACCGTTTTTGGCTCGGCTGTGACTCTTGACAACAGAGCCACAGCGACCTCCGATCAGCTGTGATCCCCAGAATGCTGATCCCAGGCGGCGCGAACACTGGGACCCACAGGAGCGCCCCAAGGGCAGATTTCACAGATAGGGAAAGAGAGAACTACTTCAATGTATTTATTTACTTTTATATATTTTTTATTGATTTCAGAGAGGAAGGGAGAGGGAGAGATAGAAACATCAATGGTGAGAGAGCACCCCCCCACCCTCACTGGGGATCAAGCTGCAACCTGGCAGTGCCCTTGGCAGGAATCAAACCAGAGCCGTGGCCCATCGCGCCCTGGGGGCTTTTGTGGGACTCCAGGTCCAGGTGGGTGGAGGGGAATTGAACTACACTTGGTTTTTAGATATTATACAATGGCCCATTTTGACCAGCAGCCGTGAGGAGAATATATGCCTGGTCAGCTTGTGAGGGCACAGGCCCGTTTGCAGGTTCTCACCCGGGTCCGCAGAGACCTGGCAGAGCAGTGACCACGGCGGCAGGGTGCTGGTGCCTGGCTTGAGCTTTTCCTTCCACCCGAGGACACCGCTCCCGGCCAGAAGCGAACTGGAGCTGGGCTGCTGCTCACTGAGGGCCGAGACCCCGCTGGGCGGGCGAAGGGCTGCTCTCCTCACTGCGGGACAGGGTGCTCACCAGGGACGGTGGCCCAGGCTGGGAAACGGGGGCAGGCCCGGACCAGGGGCTGCTGAGGGCTGGTTCTTTCTTATGGTTCCCGTGTCTTCTTTTATGGTGTCCATGTCTTCTTTTATGGTTCGCATGTCTCTTTCGATGGTGTCTATGTCCCTTTTTATGGTTTGCATGTCCCATTTTATGGTTCCCATGTCCCCTTTTATGTCTTCTTTTATGGTTCCCATGTCTCTTTCTATGGTTCCCATGTCTCTTTCTATGATGTCCATGTCCCCTTTTATGGTTCCCATGTCCCCTTTTACCCCTTTTATGTCTCCTTTTATGGTTCCCATGTCTCTTTCTATGATGTCCATGTCCCCTTTTATGGTTTGCATGTCCCCTTTTATGGTTCCCATGTCCCCTTTTACCCCTTTTATGTCTTCTTTTATGGTTCCCATGTCTCTTTCTATGGTGTCCATGTCCCCTTTTATGGTTCCCATGTCCCCTTTTACCCCTTTTATGTCTTCTTTTATGGTTCCCATGTCTCTTTCTATGGTGTCCATGTCCCCTTTTATGGTTCGCATGTCCCATTTTATGGTTTCCATGTCTTCTTTTATGGTTTCCAAGTACTTTATTATGATTTCCATATCTTTTTTTTTTCTTTTAATCCTCACCGGAGGATAGATATTTTATTGATTCTAGGCTAAAAGGAAGGGAGAGGCAGAGAGAAAAAGAGAGAGATAGAAACATCAGCGTGAGAGAGAAACATTTGTTCCTTCCCGTACGCTCCCAACCAGGGTTCCATCCAACAACCTGGACATGTGCCCTAACTGGGAATCGAACCAGTGACCCTTCAGAGATAGGACAGTGCTCCAAACAACTGAACCACTTCGGCCAGTTGGATGTGACAGGGACTCAGATATGGCCTTTGCATGTAGGCCCTTTTTTTTTTTTTTTTCTGTTAAAGTTCTAAGTTCAGCTACTGTTCCTCTAAGTTCACTGACTGTTTATAAACCAGTGCTGGGAACTATGTGTCTATTAGATTATTTGTCTCCATTTTGTTTAGCTTTTTCTGGACTTCTGTTCTTTCCTTTGAGTCATGTTTATTTGTCCTCTCCCCCCCCCCCATCCCCTCCCCTACCCTCGCTTTGGCATCTCCCCTGTGTCTGCTTCTGTGTACTTGGTAGAGCTCGGTATGTGTCCTGGGCTTGGTAGAGTGGCCTAATACAGGAGGTGTCCTATAGGGTCCAGTGGCACAGCCTCCCCAGTCACCCAAGCTGGGCACTCCTACACCCTCATGGGCTCTGTACACCCTCCTACTGTAGTGGAGCCTCGATTGCTATAGGCACCTCAATGGGAGGTATTAACCCCCAGGTAGATCAGCTGCAAGTACCAACCCCTGTGGAAGGTCAACTGTGCAGGGGCGTACCCCACAGCAGGGCTCCCCTCAGTGGGGCAGTGGTGCCTGCTGAGTCCACCCCTTGAGTGTGTCCCCTGTGGAGGAAGCTTGTGGTGCTTCGACATGGTCTGAAGCTGTCCACAGGGTGTGCTGGCTCCGGGGCCTCCTAGGAGGAGCCGGCCCAGGTCAACCACTCCCTGAGCTCTGCCCAGGGCGACTGGGTTTGAGCTACAAAGCAACCTGCAAAGGCTGCTCCTCGTGCTGGGCTCGGAGATGCCCGGGAGACGCCACGCTGTGAACCAAGGCCAGATGCTGCCAGGGCTGGGCCTGGGGCCACTCTGTGAGAGGGACTGGCATGCTGGGGCCGGATGCTGCTTATGTGAATGATTTTAGCAAAATCTGAAGCAGGAGCCAAGACAGGCCATTCCTATCAAAAGCCAGTTGAATGTGACAGGGACTCAGATATGGCCTTTGCATGTAGGCCCTTTGGAGAAGGAACCCAAACCCCCACAAAAAAACAAAAAACGATGACCACACCTTTGCCAGTATTGCTCAGGGTAAGAGCTTCCGCCCACACACTGACGGGTTTCACTTCCGGCCCCTGGCTGGGGCGCATGTGGGAGGCAACCAGTTTTTTTAATTATTATTATTTATTTAATTTTTTTTAACATGGAACGCTTCATGAATTTGCGTGTCATCCTTGCGCAGGGGCCATGCTAATCTTCTCTGCATCGTACCAACTTTAGTCTATGTGCTGCCGATGCGAGCACGGGAGGCAACCAGTTGATGAGTCTCTCTCACATTGATCTCTGTCTCTATCTATTTCCCTTCCTCCCCCCCCCCTTCCTCTTTTCCATTCTCTCTGAAAAGCAGTAGGAAAAAATGTCCCCAGAAGATGATTTAACAAAACCACGAAAACAAAAAATTCCATTTCCAGCGGCTGCCTCAGCAATGGACTCCAAGGAAATGAATCTGAAATAGTGCCCAGACCCTGCCTGGGACTCCAGGAGCACCCCCCTCCCCTCCCTTCCGCCTCAAACCCCTGCTCGTTTCTACAGCCGGAGGTTATGGGGATTTCTCCTCCAGCCCTGGAACGCTGGGGCGGCCGAGTCATCCCTCCCAATCTTCATCTGCCACACCTTTGTGTGGGACCAGCCCCGTCCGTGTCTGGGCCCCACTCACCAGGCTCAGTGTGGCTTCTCCTCTAAATCTCCAGTCGTAGGACTTCTCTTCAGCTGGATGTCAGGCCGTCCGGGCTGACGGTTGTTCAGTTGTAATTTTGATGCGGTTGTGAGACAGGCTCTGACCGGGTTCCCTCTTGCCTTTCTTCAGCAAAATGGAAGTTCCCCTTCTGTGCACACCCTGGTCACTGCCTCCTATCGATACTTCCTTCTCAATTGCTACTGCCCCTTCCTCCAGCTCAGCAACCAATCCCCGAACAGTCACAGGGGACAGTATTGCAATCGCCTTTCGCTGACAGACATGCAGACGCGTGGACATGCTGTACCTGCCCAAGTTCAAAGCTCTGGTAGCCGGGAGGCGGGATTCCGTCCTGAGTTAGAGGCTGCGCTGGCATCTCGCCCCAGCAGCAGCTCCTCACAGCGCTTCCTCGCTTCTGCGCCTTCACATAGCGCTGAGAAATAGCTAAGCACGTCCTTGCATGATGGTCAGTGGATATCTCAGCTTTCTCATAAATGCAAACAGTTACAAAGAATGTAATTGCAACACATATATGCTGACTTAAAAATAAATAAAACTGCATATATGAACTTTTCAAATATATTTTATTGATTTTTTTTTTCTTTTTACAGAGAAGGGAGAGGGATAGAGAGCTAGAACATCAATGAGAGAGAGAGACATCGATCAGCTGCTGCTGATGTGCTGGCAGCCAAGGTACATGCCCTGGACCGGAATCAAACCCGGGACCCTTCAGTCCGAAGGCCGATGCTCTATCCACTGAGCCAAACAGTCAGGGCTGCATATATGATCTTTAACATGCATCCAATGAAATCTAAATGGCCCATGGAACCTGGCCGGCGTGGCTCAGTGGCTGAGCGTCGACCTATGAACCAGGAGGTCACGGTTCAATTCCAGGTCAGGGCACACACCCGGGTTGCAGGCTCGATCCCCACTGCAGGGCGTGCAGGAGGCAGCCGATCAATGATTCCCTCTCATCATTGATGTTTCTATCTCTCCCTCTCCCTTCCTCTCTGAAATCAAGAAAAAAATATATATTAAAAATAGTAAAATAAAAATAATAAATACAAAGTGTAGAGCGGCTCACGAGGCTGGGTGAGTGACACAGCTCCCGGGAAGGAAGCAGGCCAGGGAGCAAGGCCCTGTGTGGGCAGGGAGGTCACCTGTGGTGCTTGGGAGGTGGCCCAGGTTCCCAGGCCCGGCCCCTTCCCCACCCTGACTCGGTGATGTGGGAGGACCTGGCTGCGGGCCCACGTGTCTCATCTCATTATTCCGCTGCGACAAGCCAGGAGCCGGGGCGCTGCCAGCGTGGCCGGTCCCGGGAGGCTCAGAGAGGCCGACGGCAGGGAGAGGTTCCCTCACACACGCCCCCTGGGAAGCAGCCAGCGGCTCCCTGTCACCCTCCAGAGCAGCGGAAGGCCAGCCGCCCGCTCGGTTTGGACTGGGTGCGTGCACGTGTGAGTCCGCCTGGTGTTGCTGGAAGCTTCTGAGGCTCACCCTGCCAGCTGGGATGCTCCCCCATGGGCTCTGCTGTTCCCCCACTGCGGCCAGAGGCGGCCATCACAGACTCATCTGGCCAGTCTGGGTTCCTGAGTAACCGCTTCAGTAGTTGCCACCATCGCTGAGAGGAAGGCCAAAGTCCTCTCGCGCCCCCTGACATCTGACCTCTTGAGGTCATCTCTTCCCACCCCTCACCAGCACCCACACAACTCTGCACTCCTGGGGCACCCATTCCCTCCGGCCTTCCCCAGCGAATTCCTGCTGTGCCTCCACCCGTCATGGCCTCAGAGAGGCCTCCTGACCCCCTGCCGAGGTCAGCGTCCCTGCTCTGTATTCTCATGGCTCTCGCTCCTCTGACCTTACACTCACCCAAGTTCAATGTCATGACTTCTCATTTGCTGCCTTTCCCACCGGACTGTAGGCACCACCACAGCACAGGCCACGCTGTCGGCTGTGCGTGGCCCGCGGTGGGCCCTGAGCATTCGATGATGGAGGAAATGCTCTCAGCTCTACCCTAATTGCTTGTCTTTCTTGCAGTCGGCTCATCTCTGTATCCCCAGCTTTTAGTCTGACCCCAAGTCCCATGCCCTAGTTTCAAAGATATACAGGCTCCGATTTCAGAAACCAAGGGGGCCTTTCCATGAACTGGCCAGGAATGGGCTTCTAGGTCCACACCCACTCTCCACATACAGGTGGGAGGAGGCGAGGGCCCCTAACCAGGGGAGATGAAAGAGTTACAGCGCTCACCTCACAGGCCTTCCCACTCCGTCCCCTCTGACGGGTGACACAGGTGGTGGAGGGTGTGGGGCCCCAGGAGCTGGGCCCGCCCCTCCCGGCTCAGCCCTGGAACTGGATGGTGGTTTTGCCCGCAGACCCAGCAGGGGTCATGTCAGCGGCAGGTAGAATCAGTGTGTCCTGACACCACAGGCTGTGTGAGACACAGCCACGAGGCCCCTTTTTCACAGGCTAAGGGGCATCGGTTCTCACCGGTGGAAGTCAGGCATGGGGGCTGGGCTGCTGACAATGCGTCCTTCCCAAATGTTATCACCAACACCTGCTCCCGCACTGTCCTTCCAACATGGCGTTTGTGCCTGAAGTGGCACCACCACGTTGTGGCAAAGCTGCACCATCTGGCTCATACGTGAGGTTTCGAGGCTCCAGCTGGTTTAGATGGCAGTCTGACGGCTGAAGGGAAAAGTCTGTTTACAAAGTGCCATTCACTGGGAGGGCAGGGCCCCTCCAGGGCCTCGAACATGCGGACACAGGAGGCACTCCGTGTTTGTGAAATAAATAAATGAATGCTATAAAGCTTGCTCTCTTGAGTCCCCGGATCTTTTTCTACTGAGACATTTGGTCCTGATTAGAGAGAGGAGGGAGGAGGGAGGAGAGAGAGGAAGGGAGAGAGAAAGGAGGTGAGATTGAAACATCGTCGGTTGTCTCCCACAGGTGCCTCAACCGAGGATTAAACCCACAACCAAGGAATGGGCCCTGAGTGAGAATCGAACCTGCACAGTTTTATTGTAAAGGATGATGCTCCAACCAACGGAGCCATTCTGGCCCAGGGCAGAGCAGGTCCTTGCTCACTGAAGGGGAGAGGGAAGTTGGCCACACTAACTGAGTCACCCTCACAATCTTTCGGTCCTTAGAGCGAGAGGGGCGCTCAGGAAGCCCCAGGTAGACAGTGTTGGTAGAACGTGCACATGTCAAGAAGTGGAATAAGCCGAAACCGGTTTGGCTCAGTGAATAGAGTGTTGGCCTGCGGACTGAGGGTCCCAGGTTCGATTCCAGTCAAGGCATGTACCTTGGTTGCAGGCACATCCCCGGTAGGGGGTGTGCAAGAGACAGCTGATCGATGTTTCTCTCTCATCGATGTTTCTAACTCTCTATCCCTCTCCCTTCCTCTCTGTGAAAAGTCAATAAAAATATATATATATTTTTTTTTTAAAAAGTGGAATAAAACCACTGAGTTAGTTTTGTGGGCATTTCCACCTGCTGGTAAGAATGCAGCAGGAACACGCGCATACACAAAGTATGTACACACTGTGTCATGTCAGCGATTCCGCCTACAAATTCAGCGCTTTCACATCTGCATTTAAAATGGCATTGCACAATATAAAGATGACTGGTGAAATTCATGCTCATAATTTTGAACTTTACCTTTTTTTAACTTAAAGCATCAAATAGCAAATTTAAAAAGCACTACGAGAAATCAGCGGAAAAGCTGCAGCAGAAATGAAAAGGCTTTACATCTTCCCACCATCATTGCCACTTTTCTTTCCTTTTGCTTTGAACAAGGGATCCCACGTTCTCATGTGGCACTGGGCCCCACAAATTATGCCAGCGGGCCCGGCTGTCACCAGCCCTGCATGTCATCATTTCTTACTTCGTGCACTGACAAGGTCGTGGAGCTTCTGCAAATTTGCTGGCCAAAAATGGAGCTGCCCCGGTTTTCTTGCATCAGAAATCCAGAACAATGGACTGGGAACTCCAAAGTAGATAGCTTGCTGCCCCGGCCTAGTAGCTCAGTTGGTTTAGAGCCGTGGTCGGCAAACTGCGGCTCGCGAGCCACATGCGGCTCTTTGGCCCTTTGAGTGTTCTAATGCCACTTCTTCAAAATAGACTCGCCCAGGCCGAAAACCCACTTCTGCACCTGGGCCACGAAGTTTCAATCGCACTGTATGTTCGCACGTGGTATTTTGTGGGAAAGCCACACTCAAGGGGCCAAAGAGCCGCATGTGGCTCGAGAGCCACAGTTTGCAGACCACTGGGTTAGAGCATCATCCCAACATACCAAGGCTTGATCCCTGCTCAGGGCACATACAAAAAGTAATGACTGAATAAATAAGTAGAACAACAAATCAATGTTTTTTTCTCCCTTTCGTGTTCTCTCTCTCTCTCTCTCTCATCAATAAATAAAAACTAAAAATAAGAAAGTAGGGAGCTTGAGAGAGCAAAGGGGCTTTGCAGCTGTGGGCCCTGGGATGTAAGCTGTGGTTTGCCGGGTGCCACGGACGAACCCGCTGAATACGGCGGCGAGAACGCTGCCAGGGCTCCCGGCCGCCTGTGAGCTGATCACATGCAGAATGAACTGATCGGTGTTGTCAGGGAGCCATTTGCCCGTCTAGTGAATTATGCCAACTGATTTCCAACGTAGTCGCATGTCTCAGTCACCGGGTAACGAGTCTATACCGCCTCCAGGCCTGGAGGGGGCAGTGGTGGGGAGAGGGTGGCAGCTGCCCCATAAGGCACCCTCTCCTCCTGGCTCTGGGGCCACAGCCCAGGCTCTCAGGGCGGCTGCCTCCAGGCAAACCGTGTGTGTACATTCTCCCAGGGTGAGCTGGCCTCTGCCCCATCTGTTCACCCAGCAAGCGCGGATTGAACGCCCACTGCCTGCCAGCTCCAATCTGGGATGGGCACTGGGGTGGTGGTGCCAGAAACCTAAGTCACAACTTGCCTGACCTCCTACCCTGTGCGCCAAACTGCTCACCGTCCAAAGGAGATTCTGGCCTAAACCAGCCATGACGGAGTCTGGTTGCAGATGGGAGTGAAGGCTCTGGAGGAAAGTCCACCCCAGGCTCTGCCGCTGGGTCCCAGAGGGATGTCCTTCCCCTCCCTCTGCCTCAGTTTCCTCACCTACAAACACGTCGCAGAGCTGACAGGGTGCAGAGTGAATGCAAGGAGACCACTCACTCCCTCCCGGTCCCCAATGCTGTTCTCTTCCCTGGAACATCTCATGGTCTGGATTTGCCTGATTGGCTCCTCCTTGAAGTACATACATCCAAGCCCTAGCTGGTTTGGCTCAATGGATAGTGCCTGCGGACTGAAGTGTCCAGGGTTTGATTCTGGTCAAGGACACGTACCTCGGTTGGGTTGCAGGCTCCTCCCGGCCCAGGCCCTGGTCAGTGCACATGCAGGAGGCAACCAATCGATGTGTTTCTCTCACATCAATATTTCTGTCTTTCCCTCTCTGTTCCACGCTCTCTAAAAATCAATGGGAAAAAGATCCTCGAGGGAGGATTAGAGAAGAAGAAGAAGAAGAAGAAGAAGAAGAAGAAGAAGAAGAAGAAGGAGGAGGAGGAGGAGGAGGAGGAGGAGGAGGAGGAGGAGGAGGAGGAGGAGAAGGAGAAGGAGAAGGAGAAGGAGAAGGAGAAGGAGAAGGAGAAGGAGAAGAAGAAGAAGAAGAAGAAGAAGAAGAAGAAGAAGAAGAAGAAGAAGAAATAATGAAGTACATCCAAGATTCCTTCCAGGTGAGGACTCCAATTTGAGTTCTCTATCGAGCAGTGAGGGGGTAGTTCCCAGCTCCCAAGGAAAGAGTTCTGTGATCAACTAGTAATGTCTGCAAGGAGCACAAGAGTGGGGGGATTGGGTGTGACAGCACACAGAGAGTGTATTTGCTGTCTATTCCAGAGTCTTGGCATGGCACCGAAGGGGCAACAGAAGGAGAGAGCTTTTTAGGTCTGTCCTCTTCAAGGTTCCAGGGATTGTGGTGAGGAGATAACATGGAATAAAGGAAGGACGACTCAGGGCTGTGAGTTGAATTCCTTCAAATATCCTTCTCTCTTCTACTGGCCTGAGCCACCTGGACCACAGCTCTGGGGAGGTTACAGATGCTTCTAGCAAGTTTCCTCCAAAGAGTAGCCATGCCACCGAGGGACCTCTGGCTCCTGCTGTTCTCGCTGATGGAAGGCCACCAATCCTAGGCTTCGGGCACAGTTCTCTTAGCAGGCATTGGCCGTGCCCTGCTGGCATCCCATGGCGCTCACTGCTCCCAGGCTCCACTCGCGCCTGCCTGAAGGCCATCTCTGGGTCACAGCTGTGCTGGCAGGCACACAGGGCGGCCGGCGGGGTGGGGAGCAGCCCCTGACCCGTGACAAGTGGAGGTTGGAAGGAAATTCTGCAGCTCAGAGAATGCTCTGAGATGTGTTCTTTGTCCGTGACAATCACAATAGGGCGAGAGATGGGGAGCAGAGCTTTTGCAGAGCGAAGGGAGGACTCGGAGCAGGGGTGTCACCAGGAGAGAGGAGGGCACTGGCGTGCACCCAGCTTCCCTGCTCCTGGGGTCGGAGGCGGGTCTGGGGGGCAGCACGTGCCCGCCGGGAGACCCTGGGCGTTGAATGCTGGCTGTTGAGCCGAGGAGCACAGCAGGGGCCCACAGAGGTGAGGGGCTGGGCGAGGCTCCCTGCTTTGTCACAAGGACCTGAGGGTCTCGGGGAGATTGTGCAAGAAGCCAGCGGGAACCGGCTCCCCGTGGCCGCCCGCTGCTGCCGGGAGGAGGGAGTGCCCAGGCTGAGTGCCAGGGCGAGAAGGAGCAGCGCCCCTGGCCGGCGGGCAGGGCAGGCGCTGAGAGAGGCCCCGCCCGGTCTCTGCCAGGTGAGCTTTGCTCAGAGCAGCGGGAAGGGACTCCGGAGCCGCTGAGAGGTGGCAGACAGCACAGCAGTCCGGGAGCTGGTGCTTCCAGGAACCCCGCTCCCCGGCCCCCCACTGCCTGACATCAGGAACGGCTGGGGTGCCCCCTCCTGGCCACCGCCAGGGACAGGGCAGCATGAGCCGGGCAAGGCAGGTGGGCAAGCTCCGGAGGCGCCTGGAGGACGTCAAGAGCCAGTGGGTCCGGCCGGCCAAGGCCGACCTCAGCGACCACGAGAGCGCCCGGCTGGCCACCGACGCCCTCCTGGACGGCGGCCCTGAGGCCTACCGGCAGGTGCTCCACCAGGAGGGCGAGGTGGACTTCCTGTCCTCCGCGGAGACCCAGTACATCCAGGCCCAGGCCCGGGAGCCCCCCCGGACTCCGGACACCCCGGGGGGCGCCGAGGCAGGACCCAGGGGGCCGGACGCCTGCTCCCTGCAGTCCGGCACCTACTACCCCGCGGCCTCGGAGGACAGCGAGCCCGCCCTGCTGCACGCCTGGGCCTCGGCCGAGAAGCCCTGCCTGCAGGAGCCGGCCGGCGCCACCGTGTACTTCCAGACGGACAAGCACAACATCAGGGACCTCGTCCGCCGCTGCATCACCCGCTCCAGACAGGTAGCGGGGGGACCGGCCAGGTAGCGGGGGGGGGGGACAGGCCAGGTAGCGGGGGGGGTGGGTGTCGGCCAGGTAGCAGGGGGACTGGGCAGGTAGTGGGGGGACCTGCCAGGTAGCAGGGGACCAGCCAGGTAGCGATGGCCTGGCTGGCTCCCTGGCCGGGGCGGGCGGGTGGGAGGAGGGCCCCTGGTGGAGGAGGCGGGGGGGGGGGGGCAGCCCTCAGGGATGGCGTCTGCGGTGCCACCCTCTGCCTCACCTGGGATTACTGGCTTCCTGGACCCTCTGTCACAGCCTGGGGTCCAGGTGTCACCCCATCCCTGAGCTAAGTCCTGCCTAGGCCCCATCTTCCTGCCCGTCCCCGCCACCCTGGCTCCGAGCTGCTGGAGACGCTTTCCTGCAGGTCAGCTCTCACCTCCTTCTTTTTTTTTTTTTTTTAAATATATTTTATTGATTTTTTACAGAGAGGAAGGGAGAGAGATAGAGAGCTAGGAACATCAGTGAGAGAGAGTTATGGATCAGCTGCCTCTTGCACACCCCCCACTGGGGATGTGCCTGAAACCAAGGTACTTGCCCTTGGCCGGAATCGAACACGGGACCCCTCAGTCCTCAGTCTGACGCTCTATCCACTGAGCCAACTGGTTTGGGCTCACCTGGCCTCCTTACTGCCCGACCACCAACAGAGGCGGGCTCTGCAAGTGCACTGTGTGCAGACCGGGCTGGGCAAGTCCGAGAGGACGAGGGGGCAGCGTGTGCCCAGGGAGTGGCCCTTCCTCTGGGAATCCGGAGAAGCTTCCGGAAAGAGAGGCTTCAGGGCTGAGGAGGTGCAGGCGCTGGTCAGGCACAAAGACCGGGAGGTGAGGGGGCCCAGGCAGAGGGATAGGCCCAGGGGAAGGCCTGAGCACAGAGCGAGGTGGGCTGGAGTCCGCAGGCACTCAGTGCTGAGAGGCAGGAGGGGGGACAGGACCTGGGGCGACTGGAGCCGTGCTGAGGCGTTCCCTCTTCCCGCTGTGGGCAGTGGGAGCCCCTGGAGGCTCCGAGTGCGGTCACAGCCCACGTCAACGACAGCCTGGAGCGGGGGCCAGCCCCCTTCATCTCCGTGGGAGCAGCCCACCCTGCAGCCCGCATGTGCGTGTGCGTGTGTGTGTGTGTGTGTGTGTGTAGATCACAGACTCTGCCTGCAAAGGCCTGGCAGGCCTCTAACTGGGTGAAGTGAGTGGGGGCCGGGACAAGAGGGAGTGGTGGGGTCTGTGGCAAAGAAGGTGGCACCAGCTCAGCACCAACAGAGCCAGTCTTCCTACCCGCTCAGCGGAGCTGGAGAGTCTTCCTTTTAGGTGAAATCTTCTGATTTGCGATGTTTTAGATTCCTAACGGGCTGTGCTGGTGAAAGAGAGGACATTGGCAGACCGCAGGCCGAAGAGGCAGGCGGGGGAGGGGGAGGAGAGGGCCTCGCCAGGGGATTTATGCCTCACAAGCCCTACCCTGGCTTCTGGGGTTGGGGGAGCGGCAGCCTCAGGTAAGACTCCCCCAGCGGGGGCGCCCACACTGGGAGAGCACTGAGCTCAGGCACAGGGAGCCCAGAGCCAGCACAGAGAGACAGGCCGGGAGCTGGGAGGGACCCTAGTCCACGAGGAGGCCGAGGCCTGGGAGGCTGAGGGAGGGCCAGTCCACGCAGCCAGCCCCACGCCGGGCCCACACACCCGACAGCCTGCCTGGGACGTCCGCCAAGCCCACTGCCGCCTGCCACGGAGCGTGGGATACCGCTGGGAGCAGCGGCGACATGAAAAGCTGGTGCCCCACCCATTTAAATTTTCCAGAACTCCGCTCCCTCCCCCCCATCCCACCCCCGACACAGCCTCCCCACCCCGACACAGCCTGCCTGCCCCTGGTTACGAGGCATTAAACCTGGAGCCCCAACAAAAACGTGAGCCTCAATATCAGCTCACCCCTTTTTGAGTTCTTTTCGGCGTAACCAAGTTTTAACTTTTAGGCGATCAGAGACAGAGGGAGAAGGCTTGCAGGGGACACACTTCTTCCCTTGGTCCATTCCCGCCCCTCCAGGCTCCGGGGCGGATGGGCATCTACAGCCGGTGCTGGGAGCCATCTGTGCCCCTGGGCAGGAGGAGCTGCCGCTGCCGGCGGCCGCACCACGGCCCTGACCTAGACACGGAGCAGCCACGGGCCACAGGGTGCCCGCAATTCTGTCCGCGAAGCCAGGCCAGCGTGCCAGGGCACACCGGAGCTCCTTCCCTTCTCCTTCCCTTCGGGAGCTCAGCTGCCCCGGGAGGAAGGAGAGGAGAGGAGGGGAGAGGACAGGAGAGGAGAGGACAGGAGAGGAGAGGAGGGGAGGGGAGGGGAGGGGAGGGGAGGGGAGGGGAGAGGAGAGGAGAGGAGAGGAGGGGAGAGGACAGGAGAGGAGAGGACAGGAGAGGAGAGGACAGGAGAGGAGAGGAGGGGAGGGGAAGAGAGGGGAGGGGAGGAGAGGGAAGAGGAGAGGAGAGGAGAGGACAGAACAGGGTGAGGGGTGGGTGGCAGCCTGAGCTTGAGCAACCTGTGTGCTGGAAGCAGACAGGAAGGTGACTAAGGCAGGCTTCATGAGGAGGTGGCCTCTGAGCTGAGTCTCACAGACTGAGTAAGAGTTTGCCAGGCAGAGAGGGAGGGAAAGGCATTCCAGGCCGAGGGGTGTGGGCACCAAGGTCAGGCCCAGGGGGCGTGGGCACCAAGGTCAGGTCTGAGAGAGCCGAGGCCGGGGAGGTGGGGAGACACGCCATCCCTCTGGGGGGACAGCGGGTCGGCAGGGCCCTCGGGGAGTGACGAGGGTGGGAACGGGGATCAGAGGCCACAGCAGCTCTGCCTTACTCTTTGTGCCAAAGAGGGAGCCGCAGTCCCTTGGAGGATCAGGTGTGAGATGGAGAAGACGTGGGGAGTCCTAGCACACGCAGGAGAGAGTTTGTTGTGGACCCAGTAGCCATGGCTGCACAGGAGCCGTCAGGCACACAGTTCTTCCAGGCAGTCCAGCCCGCAGGGCGGCCCCACACGGCGGCCCCGGCCCCCGGGCCGGCCAGCGGCCTCTCACACACGCTCAGACAGAGGCCTCGTGCCCATGAGGGACACAGGCTCGTGCTACGCTAACATCCTCGCCTGCAGCAAGCGTGTGGCAAACTGGCCTTGACCATCGGGCGCATCTAATTAGGGTTCCCACGTGGGGTTTGCTCGGACCAGGTGCAGGCGGCCCCACAGACCTGGAGAGGGAAGCTGGCACAGCCCTCCGTGCTAGGCAGGGCCGGCCGGAGCACCCGGCGGGCAGGCGGGCGGCGAGGGGACGGCAGGGCAGGCGCCTGTCCGGGGCTGCGGGAGGGCAGGAGCGCAGGCAGCAGTCTGAGGTGGCCTGGTGGGTCAGGCTGGCCGGCTCTGGGCGCTCCGGCCGGGCCCTGGGTGGTGAGGGGCAGGGGCTGTGTGTGGGGCTGTTGTGTGTGAGTTGAAGAAGAGGGTGGTCGAGCGTCGGCTCTGGGTTGCGGTGTTTGCACACCAGAGACACGCGCACAGGCCAGTGTTTGCAATCGCTAGGAGTCAGCACCTACAAAACCGCGAGCCGTCATCCACGCGTCCTCCAGAGGGGCCAAGGGTAAGGTGACCAGCCGTCCTGCTTTTGGCAGGACAGTCCCGATTTTTAACATTTTGCCCCGCGTCCTGCAGCGCCTTAAACAAAATGTTAAAAATCGGGACTTTTTAAACATGTCGCGGGACGTGGGGAAAATTGTTAGAAATTGGGACTGTCCCGCCAAAAGCGGAACGTCTGGTCGGTCACCTTAGCAAGGGCCCTTCCAGCGGGTCTGTAAGGTCCTTCCCTTTTTTTTAATAAAGTTCCAAGGAGTAGGACACTTCAGTTTTTTGGGTTTTTTAAAAATATATTTTATTGATTTTCCACAGAGAGGAAGGAAGAGAGATAGAAAGCTAGAAACGTCGACCAGCTGCCTCCTGCACGCCCCCTACTGGGGATGTGCCCACAACCCATATACATGCCTTGACCGGAATTGAACCTGGGACCTTTCTGTCCGCAGACGGACGCTCTACCCACTGAGCCAAACTGGTTTCGGCAGGTCCTTCCCTTCTTAACCACGTAATGCGTGAGGCCAGTTTCCCTGCACACGCTTCACCCAAACAACACACACACACACAGAGATTGCTGGAAGCAGGCATGCGGGCCAGCCGCCTCCTGCGAAGCCAGACGCTACAGAGACGGACAGCCCTGCGCTCACTGCATCTTGTGGTTGTTTTAGAAGATACAGTTATTTTTTTATTAAAAAAGCTCTTTGGAATCCTCAACAATTTTTTTTAAAATCTTCACCCGAGGATATTTCCCCATTGATTTTTAGAGAGTGGAAGGAGGGAGGTGGGGGAAACAGAAAGAGAGAGACATCGATGTGAGAGAGACACCTCCACTGGTTGCCTCCCACAGGGTCGGGGATCGAGCCTGCAACCAAGGTGTGTCCCCGTGACCGGAGCCGAGCCCCAGACCCTTCAGGCCACAGGCCATGCTCTATCCACTGAGCAACCCGGCCAGGGCCTCAATAATTTTTCAGAGAGTAAAGGGGTCCTGAGACCAGAAAGTTGGAGAAGTTTAGCAGACAAGCCCCCTCTCCTTGCCCAGCACACACACACACACACACACACACATACACACACACCCGGCTCCCCCCGCCTCTCCCCTCTCTGAGAAGACCGGGCTGACTGTAGAAAGGAGTCCCATCAGCCGCTGGGGGCAGGGAGGGTGGAGTGGAGCTTGGAGAGGAGCCAGGAGAAAGCGGCTCCTCCCTCCACCCAGGCCCACCCCCAGGGGCAGGCACTATCTTTTCGGGCTGAGACCCTGCCCTGATGAGCTATCCCCCTCCCCCCCACCTCCACCCCCGCTCTGCACCCCACAGGCCTCTGGTCATCGCAGCAGGCCTGAGGGAGGGTGTCGGGGCGCGGTGAGGCCACCAGAGCAGACGCGGCACCGTGTCCTAAAGGCGCTCCCAGCCCTGCCTCAGGAGAAAGGGCCTCCCGGGGACACACCTGGGGACTGGCCGCCGCCCTGGGGGAGAACGGCCTCTCCTGCCGGGAGCCTGGGTGAAGCGCACTGATCTTCAGCAGAGGGGCCGTGTACTGAAATGTGCGCAGGCACCTGATTGTGCCGTCACAGGCTCAGAGCTCCTGGATCATGGTCTCCTTCTGGAACATCCTTCCTGACTTCCAGCCCAGGGTGAGCAGTTTGCCAGCTGATCCTTCCCCTGAAGGGCCGAAACCGGTGTGGCTCAGTGGATAGAGCGTCAGCCTGCGGACTGAAAGGTCCCGGGTTCGATTCCAGTCAGGGGCATGTACCTTGGTTGCGGGCACATCCCCAGTGGGGGGTGTGCAGGAGGCAGCTGGTCGATGATTCTCTCTCATTGATGTTTCTAACTCCATCTCTCTCCCATCCTCTCTGTAAAAAATAAAATATTAAAAAAAAAAGTTCTGGAGGCTGGAGGTCCAAGGCCAAGGTCGGGCTGTGTCAGCGAGGCCCACATCCTGGTTCACAGACAGCATCTCCCATGGAGCTGTTCACAGACAGCCGTGTCCTCCCAGGGTCGGAGAGCTCCTCAGGAAATCCCAGGGGCCTCTGAGCTCGGTGCCAGCGCCCCCTCCCCTCCGCCAGCCCTCCCTCCCTCTGCCAGCCCCTCCCTCCCCTCTGCCAGCCCCTCCCTCCCCTCTGCCAGCCCCTCCCCTCTGCCAGCCCTCCCTCCCCTCTGCCAGCCCTCCCTCCCCTCCGCCAGCCCTCCCTCCCTCTGCCAGCCCCTCCCTCCCCTCTGCCAGCCCCTCCCTCCCTCTGCCAGCGCCCCCTCCCCTCCGCCGGCCCCTCCCTCCCCTCTGCCGGCCCCTCCCTCCCCTCTGCCGGCCCCTCCCTCCCCTCTGCCGGCCGCTCCCTCCCCTCCGCCAGCCCCTCCCTCCCCTCTGCCAGCCCCTCCCCTCTGCCAGCCCCTCCCTCCCCTCTGCCAGCCCCTCCCTCCCTCTGCCAGCCCCTCCCTCCCTCTGCCAGCCCCTCCCTCCCTCTGCCAGCGCCCCCTCCCCTCCGCCAGCCCTCCCTCCCCTCCGCCAGCCCTCCCTCCCCTCTGCCAGTGCTCCCAGGCCCATGGGACCAAGTTCCACCCAAACCAGTGAGCCCTGGACCTGACCCTCCTGGTGTTTGCCCCCCGCCCTGGCCAGGTCCTGGCCATCCTGATGGACGTGTTCACGGACGTGGAGATCTTCTGTGACCTCCTGGAGGCGGCCAAGCGCGGGGTGCTGGTGTGCGTGCTCCTGGACCAGGGCGGCGTGCGGCTCTTCCGGGAGATGTGCGACCGGGCGCAGGTGTGCGAGCGGCACCTCCAGGTAGGCCGAGGGGAGGCTGAACGGCGGGCCAGGCTCGGGGAGAGGGCCCCGTGCCCGCGGCTCCACACAATGAGGCTTATTCGTGGCTCAAAGTGAAGTCAGACGGCCTCCCTCCACTTGGAGCTCCGTCAGAAGACGTGGCCTCCGGGAAAGAGAAAGACGTGGCCCGAGAAAGGGGGAGGAGGTCCTGCGGGATGAACACCGGGCCTGGAAGAGACTTTCAGGTCCACTCACAGCCTTTCTTTATTCTTTTTAAAAAAATATATTTTATTGATTTTTTACAGAGAGGAAGAGAGAGAGGGATAGAGAGTTAGAAACATCGATGAGAGAGAATCATCGACCAGCTGCCTCTTGCACACCCCCCACTGGGGATGTGCCTGCAACCAAGGCACATGCCCTTGACCGGAACCGAACCCGGGACCTTTCAGTCCGCAGGCCAACGCTCTAACCACTGAGCCAAACCGGTTTCGGCTCATAGCCTTTCTTTAAAAAAGACATTTTCATTGACTCCAGAGAGGAAGGGAGAGGGAGAGGGAGACAGAGACATCAATGCTGAGAGAGAATCATTGACCAGCTTCCCACCCCACACTGGGGCTGGAGCCCACCCCCTGGGCCCGGGCCTCGAATGGGAATCGAGCTGGTTCATAGGTAGATGCTCACCCACTGGCCACACCAGCCAGACCCCCTCACAGCCCTGTGACCTCCCGGGCGCCCGGGCAGGAAGGGCAGGGCGGGCAGGGCCGCTGCTGAGCATCAGCCTTCACTGGCTCAGCTGAGGGCGCTTCCCGCGGGGCGGCCTCAGCACCTGTGCGACTCCGGGCGGGAGGGAGGGCAGCCCTCAGCCCCAACAGGAAGCTCCTCCCCTGGGACTTCACCAGCCTCCCCACCTCCTCTGGCAACGAGAAAAGAAACCCCGAGATAAGGGATCCCTCAGGGTTGCCTTCGGGGCAGCTAATCCAAGGTCAAATGTCCCCGCGCCTGCAGCAGGCCCAGCCGAACAGCTGATGGCAGGCAGGTCCGCCTCCTGGAGCCGGTCCTCCTCCCATCCCCCACCTGTCCCCTCCTCCTCCCGTCCCCCACCTGTCCCCTCCTCCTCCCATCCCCCACCTGTCCCCTCCTCCTCCCGTCCCCCACCTGTCCCCTCCTCCTCCCATCCCCCACCTGTCCCCTCCTCCTCCCGTCCCCCACCTGTCCCCTCCTCCCCCGTCCCCCACCTGTCCCCTCCTCCTCCCGTCCCCCACCTGTCCCCTCCTCCTCCCGTCCCCCCTTGTCCCCTCCGCGCTGGCCGCTGACCGCCAGGCAGCTGAGGTCAGGCACCTGGATCTTACCTGACTCCCACCGCTCAGCGTGAGGCCACAGACAGGAGAGTCAGCGGCGGCCTCCGCTGCTGGGCTCACACAGGCCACACTCCTGCTCGCTGCCCGCAGAGGGACAGGGGGAGCTGAGAGGAGGCGGGAGCAGCAGCGGGAGGCGCTGGTGTCCCCTCCCGGAGCCGCCCAGCTCAGCAGGCGTGGCCGGGCCCAGCAGTGCGGCCTTCCTCTGAGGCCGGTGTTCCCCCGCCCGCCTTCGTCTCTCCGCCTTCCCAGGCTTCCCTGCGGAGGGCAGCGGGCGCTGCTGGGGAGGAAGGGGACAAACAGGACCAGGATTTGGGCATGAACACACCTTTTTAAACTTATCTTTTCAATTATTTATATATATATATATATATATATATATAGAGAGAGAGAGAGAGAGAGAGAGAGAGAGAGAGAGAGAGAGCGCGCGAGCGCGTCGGCCTGAGGACTGAAAGGTCCCAGTTCGATTCCGGTCAAGGGCATGTACCTTGGTTGCGGGTGCATCTCCAGTGGGGGGTGTGCAAGAGGCAGCTGGTCGATGATTCTCTCTCATCGATGTTTCTAACTATCCTTCTCTCTTCTTCTCTGTAAAAACAATAAAATATTTAAAAAAAAAATTTTTTAATATATTTGAATTGATTTCAGAGAGGAAGGGAGAGGGAGATAGAAACACCAGCGAAGAGGGAGAATCATTGATTGGCTGCCTCCTGCACAGCCCCTTCGGGGATCGAGCCCACACCCTCGGCATGCGCCCTTGGCCCTTCAGTCCGCTCGAGCCAGACCAGCTAGGGCAACACACCCTTTTTTTAGACACAATGGAGGGTCCAGTGGGGTCTCCTCCCAGCTGTCTCCTCTGGCCGCCCTGAGCCTGCCCGCTGACCAGCCTGGGGACAGGCACGCTGTCACTAAGGCCACTCACGGGCAAGGCTGGCCCTGCCGGGCCTCCGTGGTCCACGGGGGCCGCGACCGGCGGCTCCAGGGGCACCGGCCCTCGGCTTCTATGTCCTGCTTTCTTTCTACCACCCGCTCCCTTTCTGTCCTCCGGTTACTTTGAGTATTGTCAGGACAACGAAGGCCGTTTAGAGGATTCAGCCAAGGACAGGGTGAAAACGGCCCAGCGGCCCAGCAGCTGGGATAGCCCTGTCTCCGCGGTGGCGAGCGTCCCCCCGGACCCTGTGCCGGGCAGACTGGCGGCTGTGAGTCCGTGACGGCGAGCAGCGCGACCTCCCTCCCCGCAGAGCCTCGCGGTCCGCAGCGTGGGGGCGGAGGTGCACTGCGCCAAGTCCGGCAGGAGGTTCGCCGGCCGGGTCCAGGCGAAGTTCATCATCTCCGACTGGAGCTACGTCCTCTCCGGATCCTACAGGTGAGCGGGGTCTCGCCCGTGGCGGCTGCTGAGGCCGAGGCTGGGCGTGGCCCCCGGCCCCGGGCCCCAGGCGCCAGGCACACACACACACACACACACACACACACACACACCCGCCAGCAGCTCCCGGAGGGAGGACAGGCCTCGGGGGGAGGGCAGGGGCGGAAATGGGCTCTTCCTGGGAGGACTTCGGGGTAGAGAGTCCCTTTCTGGTGCCTCAGTTTCCCTTGATATTGCACCTTTTGTTTCCTCCTCGGCTGTCTCAGATACGATTATAAACCCATGCAATTTGTTTTAGTATGTGCGTGTTCCTATTTTCAGGTGTTTTTTTTTTTAATTTTATAAAACATTTATTGAGGCCCTAGCCAGTTGCTCAGTGGATAGAGCATTGGCCTGCAGACTGAAAGGTTCCGGGTTCGATTTTGGTCAAGGCACATACCTCGGTTGTGGGTCTATCTCCAGTAGGGGGCGTGTACGAGGAGGCCGATCAATGATTCTCTCTCTTCATTGATGCTTTGATCTCTCTCTCCCTCTCCCTTACTCTCTGAAATCAATAAATATATATATATTAAACATTTTATTGACATATAATCAATACGCTATATAATTCACCCATTTAGAGTATGCAATTCAATTCTTTTTGTTACTGCTTTCCTCACCTGTAAAGTGAGGGATAACAGTTTCTTCCCTTGCAGATAAAGTTTGCAAAAACACGTGGCATAGCTCCTAGCACATAGTAGGTGCTCAACAAATGATTGCTGTTAGCCTGCCAGTACCCTGGCAAGGCCCCAGGGGGAGGGGGACAAGGAATAGGCAAGATCTGAAAGGGTGGGGACTGAGAGGAGGCTGGTCCTGAGGGCTGCCAGGCCCCTGGAGGAGGTCTCACTGGCTGGCGTGGGGATGTGGTCCGGGAAAGACTGGGGGGCACCAAGACAGCCCCCCTCTCACTTCAGAATTGCCAGGGCTTGCTGAACACCACAGTGTCCTTGACAGACGACAAGCGCCACCCTGTGTGGCCCCCAACCAGCTTCCCACCCCTTCTCCCCTCGGTGCGAGAGCATCTCCAATCCCCTGGGACCATGGCTGGCTCCAGGGACTAGAAGCGGCAGCGGCCCAGCAGGGAGTCAGACAGTTTAAGTTCGGTTCCCAGCTCTGTTTCTCAGGCTCCCTCAGCGTGAGCTGTTTCTTATGCCAGAGCAGCGTGTATTTTGAGGCGGCGTGTCCACACCCCTTCACCATTAGGGAGTCGCTCCCATGCCTCCTTCTCAGCCCCTAGCAGCCAGCTCTGAGACTGGCCGGAGGCTTATTGAGCCACTGAAGAGATTTCCAGACCATCACAAAGGGCAGAGCAAGGAATTCTGGGAGAGAAAACGAAGAGGGAGCCTTGCTCTCGGCAGGGAGAATTCCCCCTTGGTTCTCATTTCCTTGTCCTTACAGAGTTCATTGCCGGGTGGCCCCTGCCCGTGGGGCCGGCAGGAAGCGGTTAACCCCGGTGAGCTCTGTGCCAGGCCAGGGCCGGGTGTGGTCAGACCTGTAAGGACTCAGAGAGGGTCAATCTTCCTCACGCCCCTCTTCTCATGGCAGACGGGGACCTGAGGAGCAGAGGGGCAGGGATCAGCGCACAGTCCTTGACTAGCATCTCCAGCTCCCCCTGCCCACCGAGGCCCAGTGGGCGTGCCATCCTGACCCGGGAGGTGCCAGGAGGAGGGGGCAGCGGGCTTTAAGATGCAGGGCCATCCGTAAGAACCGGAAGGTCCAGCTCCTGGAGAGAGGGCGGGTCAACGCCTTCGCCCTCGGCATTCAGGGTGTCTGTGAGCCTATCAGGACCCGTTCCCCTGGGACCCTCAGAGCTGCAGCCAATGAAAACAAAGCCACAAACAGGACCTCCCTCAGCCTGGCTCTCCCTGGGCTTCCAGTGGCCTGGCCCTCCTCTCTGGTTGTCTCTGTTCTACCAAACTGAAGAGCTGATGCCTCTTCGGCCGGGGTGTGTGTATGTGTGTGTGGAGGGGGGAGCTCAAGGGGCAGCCTGTGTGCATGGCCTCTGGGTGCATGGGGACCTCACCAGTTGCCAGGGCACCTTTAGACCCATTTTACTGAGCAAAGCACGTAGTTGTTGTCCTCGTCCAGCCCAATTCCCAAACACAGATTTGGGCGTTAGATTCTTAGTGCAGCCAGGAGCCCCCTGTGCCCGTCTCTGCACCTCCCCCATCACCTGGCTGGCCCAGGCTCAGCCTCAGCCGCTCATCCATCTGGGGCCGAGTGGATGGCTCCTGGGCGGGAGATGAGGCTGGAATAAAGCCTCCTGTTCCTCCCAGGATTGCCCAGCCTCTGTGGGCCCGCCCTGCCTCCTATTGGCAAGGCCAGCGGCCTGATGGCTGGCGTTGGAGGCTGAGGCCCTTGTGGACCCGCCTCCCAGGATGCCCTGCCCTCTGACTGCCGAGCCCCATCGCCTCCACATGATCAGAAACACAGGGATCTCTGAGCTGATGCTCGTGGTGGGTCTTCTGTGCTGTCACCAGACATTTTCAAGGGTGTTTTTTTGGGGGGGAGGGAGAGAAGAGGCAAGGACATGAGGAGGGGAGTTTTCATCAAAAATAGAAAGAGATTTCACCTGGCCTACATGGCTCAGCGGTTGAGCATTGACCTATGAGCCAGGAGGTCACGGTTCGATTCCCAGTCAGGGCACATGCCCAGGTTGTGGGCTCAACCCCCAGAGTGGGGCGTGCAAGAGGCAGCCAGTCAATGATTCACTCTCATCATTGATGTTTCTCTCTCCCTCTCCCTTCCTCTCTGAAGTCAATAAAAAAGGTATTTTAAAAAAATAGAAAGGAATTTGGTTAAATCAGGGAATCATAGAAAGTCACACCTAAATGCCTTGAGCATTTTGTTTTCTCCTCAGACCTGTGATGGACGGAGGCCCAAGACCTCTCTCTGCCTGAGGGTGTGCTGACCTGGGTGTCCCAGCAAGCCCCGCCCTGTCCCTGCGGCTCACCCTGTGTCCCCTTCCCATCTGCCGAGGGGCCCGGGATCCTCCCTCCCCTCCCCTCTGGGTCCACCCGCCTGAAAACGGCCCTCCACCCGCTAGATGGTCATGATCATGTAGCCCCTGCCTTCCAAGGAGCTGCCTCCTCAGCCCACACCCCCTCCGCGGGGACCGGCTAAGGGACAGGAGGAGCCCTGGCCCGAGGCCAGGAAGTCATCTGGCCACGTCCTCACCAGCCAGCCAGCAACACGGGCTGGATGGGAGCTCCAGTTTGGCCTTTTGTGAAAGGGGACCCTGTCCCGCCAGGGCTTCTGCAGGATGACAGAGAGGGGCAGAGGGCGGAGTCCCCTCCTTCCAGTCCTGCTATCAACCCCCAACCCCTGAGGCAGGTCCTGGGGGGCCCCCGCCCGCTGTGGCCCACTCCCACCTCCCCCTCTCTCCTCCCACAGCTTCACCTGGCTCAGCGGACACGTGCACCGCAACATCCTCTCCAAGTTCACGGGCCCGGCCGTGGCGCTGTTCGGCCAGGAGTTCCGCCGCCTCTACGCCGCCTCCCAGCCCGTGATGGGCCTGAAGTGCCCCAGGCTGGCCGCCCCCCTCCCGCCCGGAGCAAGGCGCAGCCCCCCGCCCGGCCGCCTCAGCCTCAGCAGCAGCAGCGGCTCCGCCAGCGCCAGCGGCCGCCTGTCCTCCAGCCCAAGCCCGTCCGCGTCCTCGGGGCCCAGCACCCCGCTGGCCCCGAACCCGCCTCCGCCCCCCAGGTTCCAGCCCCACCACGGCCTCTGGGGGGCGCTGGCCCCGAGGCCCCTGGATGGCCCGCTGGCTCTCTGCTGCAAGCTCGGCGCCTGCCGGCCCCCCAGGCTGCAGCCGGAGCGGCTGGGCCTGCTGCCCCGGGCCCACGTCTGGAGGCCGTTCCTGCAGGCCACCCCTCGTTTCTGAGGGGCCCTCCTCCCGGCTGCCCTCCCAGGACCCCTGGGGACGGACGGACGGGACGGCAGCTTTGATTCCCGGACAACACTGATGCCTGTTGGAATGTCCCCGGGCCTGAGAGTGTTCACCTGCTGATCACACTGGTCCCTGGGTTCCCCTCTCCGTCCGGTTTGGGCTACGCAGCACATTCCAGAAGGTTCCAGGGTGATGGGGGTGGGGAACTAGAGGACAAAATGGTGAAAGTAGGGCCTCCTCTCCCAGGGCCACTCGGACCCGCTGGGGTGTGAGACGGGGCAGACTCAGCACGTTTCACACGTGGGTAAGTGCAGGCAGCGAGCAGCAGAGGGTGTGTGTGACCGAGGGCCCGTTTCCCAGCTCACAGAACAGTCTTCTCCCCAGAGACTCGCGAGAGATCGAGGAGAAGGCCCGGGAACATTCTGTGCGGACCGGAGGGCGGGAGACTGGGTGCCCCTTGGCCCGAGGGCGTAGGGATGAGGCCCGGCCGCTGAGCCGTGGGCTGTGAGACTGCCGCGGGCGGACGGGACAGACCGGGCATCTGGGGACGGAGTCACTGCCAAGGCCGAGGCTCCCAGAGCGCCCGGAGCAGGCGCAGTTGGCCTCAAGGTGGAGGCCCCTTGCCGGACGGGCCCCTCGGAGAGTGTGGTGAGCAGCCCCACTCCCCCCTCCCATTCACAGTGGATAAGCAATATGGGCAGGAAATAAACCTTTGTGGTCCAAGCTCTGAGACTGGGGCTGTCTGTCACTGCACCACGACCCAGCTTCTCCCGGCAGACCCGGCCTCCGGCGCCGAGGCTGGGCGTTCTTCGGTGGGCTGGATTCCCCGAGTCCCCAGCTTGGGCCCTCGTCCCGACAGCATGTCCACCAGACCAGGGGGGTTTTACTCACCGGCGAGGAGGTGGCTGAATGCCAGGTTCCCAGCCCTCCAAACCCACCTGCAATTCCGCTTGGGCCAGTCACAGCCGCACCTGCCCTGGCGGCCTGCTTACCCGCCGTCTCCACTGCGAGTGATTCAACAGCAGCAACAGCTGCCCGCTGTGTTCTGGGCACAGCAACAGGCGGATACCCAGACCCACACATGTCCTGGAGAATCCCAGTCAGCTGCAGGCGACACCCAGTGAACCAGCACCATGCAACATGAGGGGGGAAATCTGATCACCTAAATCAATAAAAATCTATTTTAAAAAATTAAAAGCCTAAAAAACCTAAAAGCCTCTTTTACACACTCTCCCAACAGATGACTTATAAAGGGGTGGGAGGCTAAGAGAGGTGAATGGCAACAATCTAAGAAACGGAACACAACAGAAAGAACCTGGGAGATAAGCCATTTTTATAAAACAAAGCGTCACATTTGATTCACTCACTCTGTTTCATGGTTAGCAGTGGATTCTCTGTGAAGTAAAAGACAGTTAACATGGGGCCAGATGTCTTTTTTAAAAATATTTTTATTGATTTCAGAGATGGAGAGATAGAAACATCAGTGATGAAAGAGAATCACTGATCAGCTGCCTCCTGCACACCCCACACTGGGGATCAAGCCTGCAACCCAGGCACATACATGCCCCCGACTGGAGTCAAACCCAAGAGCCTTCAGTCTGCAGGCTGCTGCTCCACCCACTGAGCCAAACCAGCCAGGCCGGATGTTTTGTTGTTAAGCAGAGATCTGCATCTGTGTATGGAACTGGCTTTCAAAGGAGCAGAAGTGGTCTTTGATCTTTCGGAACCACTTGTCTTCAAATTCCTCCGAAGATGCGACCACCAAGGCGGCCAGGGCTGCGGGGCCCACACACTTCACCTCGCTGTGAACCTCGTCTTTTATTTTTTCTGGAACGATGTCTTCTCCCATAACCTGCAGGAGGGGAAAAACAACATAAAAGGGGCACTCGCCCTGGCGTGCAGGACCACGTGTCTGTGGCCTAAAGGATTTCACACAAGCAGGCCTCCTTCAGCAGCGCGGGGACGACTCCAACCGTTCCAGCACATCGAAAAGATGCCTGGTCAGAGCAGCGATCTGAGGGCCTTGGGTGAAATACCACCCCGTTTCCGGGCCCGTCCTTCCCGAGCGAACAGTCACAGAAGTGCTCCTGTGGCAGGGGAACGAGTCAAGACAGGAAGCCGAGCCACCTCCTCGTAGCTGAGAGCATCTTCTCTCGGCAGCTGGAGGGACCCACCCTCCTGGTAGAATGACTGAAGAGCGGGGCTTGGGCAGGACAGAACTCCATCCTCCCAGAAATGGAACCACACAACCTCCGAGACCGAAGAAGCAGGCTGGCCCTCTGAAGGCACAATACTGCTCCCTACTGGTCAGAATCAGGTTCCGATTCTGCATTAGGTTCTCTTTGATAAAACACCAGGAAGATTAAGACATGCTCTTGCTTGGAGAGGGTTGGGGGGAACGGACGCGCGAGGAGGTGGAAGACAGGACGGGTTGAGGGGGAATAAAGAGCTACCTATTCAAGCCATCATTCCATCTGAGCTCAGGTGAGGGAGGAGCTGCCACGGACAGCACACGCTGCGAGAGGTGCCTAGCGGATGTGGATTTCGGCCGGGTCTTTGGGGACAGGAACAGGAGGTGGAGATGGGAACCCCAGGGCAGGTTTATTAGATACAGGCAGATAGTCTAGCAGAGGCAAAGACTTGTGTGAGGAATGACTAGGTCAGAAGTTGGGGTTACTCTCTGGAAGGCCTTGGACACCATTATTAAGGCTGTAAACTAACCTGATACATTTTCGTTTTAAGCAAGCAGGTAATATGGTCAAAGCAATATTTGGTTTTTTTCAATTTTATTTTTCAATTATACTTGAAAGTCAATACTATTTTATACTCATTTCGGTGTACAGCATAGTGGTTAGACAATCACATCATTTATGAAGTGATTCCCCCGGTAAGTCTAGTGCCCACCTGGCACCATAAGGAGTTCTTGCAATGTTACTGACTGTATTTCCTGTGCTGTACTTCACAGACAGTGACTATTCGGTAACCACCATCTGTACTCCTCAATCCCTCCCCTCTGCACCCAGTCCTCCAAGCACGATTTAAGATGAACTCAGCAGCAGCATTTAAGACAGATCTGAGGGGGAGGAAGCAGGAGGTGAGCCGGAGGCGCTGTGAGAGCACGGGGAGTGGTAAGGACTGTGGCTGGTGGTGAGGGGCCCTGAAGAAAGGTGGGTGTGGTGCCGGCTACAGTGAGAACAGAGGAGGAGGCTGTGAGGTTCCAGGTCTGGATAAACCAAGAATGACAGACAGAGTCGACAAAAAAAATCTAAGTCTAAGGAAGAGATGGTTCTCCCCAACTCCCCTGTGCTTCCTCTCCGTATGCCGGGCACCGGCACTCCGTATGCCGGGCACCAGTAAAAGGTGGGAAGTGTTTTGGTGAGCAGTTCCATTTTAGCTGAAGTGACAGCAGAATAATCAATAATCATCTCTGATTAACCGCTCAGCAGGTAATCACTCTGTTCCAGAGCAGGGAGCAGAGACCCAGACTAGAAGGTCAGCCGCCCAGAGGCGACCACTGAGCTGTGTGGGTATGAGGTATCACTGCTGGGGAGGAAGCAGAGGGAGCGGAGGACCTCAGAGAAAGCTAGTGGTGCCTCAAGAGGCAGAGGGACAGTGAGAAAAACTGGAGAAAAGCCGAGTGCCGCCTCTCAGAGCAAAGGGAAGAAGAAACAGAAAGTGACTGCCCACTGCTACATACGTATCTGTGGGAGTCAGACAAAGGCAAGGCTCCGGTTGGCTCAGAGAGACAGGTGTCTGGGCATGTCTGTGGGCTCAGGGGAAGAGCCCGAGAAGGGGGAGGGTGAAAAAGGCTCAGAGACAAGACAGGAGGTGTGATCCCAGAACAGGGAAAGGAGTCAAGGGAGAGCTTAGTTTGGGGAAGGGAAGAAGGAACCAGGCAATCATAGATTTGCAGGAAGCATTTTTAAAAATATATTCTTATTGATTTCAGAGAGGAAGTGAGAGGGAGAAAGACAAACATCAATGATGAGAATCATTGATTGGCTGCTTCCTGCATGCCCCTATTGAGGATCAAACCCACAACCCAGGCATGTGTCCTTGACAGGAATCAAACCCAGGACCCTTCAGTCCACCGGCTGATGCTCTACCCACTGAGAAAAACCAGCCAGGGCATGCAGTAAACATTTGTTGAAAGCATGACATTAGGATGTGTACATGCTAATGGGTTATTCTCATGGGGAAAGTCCCTGGGCTGTCACGTTTCAATGATATACAAAGAGGAGTCACATAAGTACATGGATAATCTCCAAATGTCATCTGAAGATATTTCAACAGCATATAATTTGGTTTATTTGTTAATCCTCACCCGAGGATATTTCTCCATTGATTTTTAGAGAGAATAGAAGGGAGGGGGAGAGACAGAGAGAAACATCGATGTGAGAGAGACACATCGATTGATTGTGAGCATGCAACCAAGTAAGTGCCCTTGACGGGGACTGAACTCGGGACCCTTCGGTCCCCGGGCCGACACTCCATCCACTGAGCCAAACCGCCTAGAGCCAGCATTTGTTTTAAAAGCTAGTAAAGGTTTAAAAAGATTGTCACCTGAACGTCTCCATAACATCAAAGCAGTAACGGGTGGGGCAGACAGACAATGGACCTGCAACTGGACTGGTTCCAGCACGGCTCCGCCCCTGAAATCCTGACCTTGGCAAGTCACAGCGTCTCTGCGCCTCCCTCAGCCCACCCGCCCCGCAGGCTGTTGTGAGGATGAATGAAGGAGCAAACACACTGAGTCCTGCACAGATGTCAGCATCATTCCTCCCCCTCAGCACTCAGCAGCTGCTGGGCATGCCGGTGCCCAGGCAGCAACTGGAATGGACAGGGCCCCTCCGCCCTGCGGCAGAAGGACCAGGAAGCCCTTCGGAGGATGAGCTCTGACCTCGTTTTTTGAAAAAAGGGCGTGGGCGCCAGGAAAATATCCCTGGTGCCTCGCTTCACACAAATCCCAGGGCATCACTCACCTCAGTGATCAGCTGCAGGGTGTCTTCTCTGAAGCCAAAGCCTTTCACTTTATCTTCAACTTCCTGCTGGGTCCTGAGGTTCCTCTCCAGAGCAAACGATGTCTGCTGGGACTGGGTGAGCTGAAGCAAAAGCCTGGAAAACACAAACGTCCGGCCAGGCAGGCTCCGGGAAGAGAGCGATGCGGTGGCCACATGCAGCACAGGGTTCGCTGGATGAGAGTCCGCTGGGCTCCCCGCAGGCGCTCACCGCCTCCGCATCCTAACGCTTC